ATGATCACCTGGGAATAATGTCCCCATACAGAGTCTGTGTCCCACCAGGGCCAATTAGGGATAAGCCTAATGTTTGAGGGTCTGGTGACCCAGTCATCCCAAGCAGGAGCACTCTGCTGCTGATGTCAATGCCAAGCTGGAGTCCATTTGTTGCCCTCAGCTGTGTTTGTGGCCGGTTAGGTGACAGATCTGGCCAATGTAGCAGAGCTGAGTGATACGTACCATTTCCTGCTGACGCATGCCTGCTGGCATTCTAACCATCTTCTCCTCCTGCAGTGACTTCAGTGCCACCTATGTGGTTTAAAAGAGCAGCCAGAGACATGCCAGGGTCACCATCCCAAGCACCACTAACAGCAGAGTTGGAGGCCAGGCCAAGCAGATGAGCAAGAAGGGAATCTAAAGTGCTCAGGCCTGGAGGTTTGATGTCATGTGCTTGTGGCACCAATGTCACCCAGCTTAACAGAACACAGATGCCATCATCCTGATTTTCAAAGATAAGAAATCAGAGGCCACATTGTGGCACAATAATTGCAGACCCAGGCCATCGACACTTCCTGTGAGAGCCCTTTGTTGATTTTTAAGATTGTTTTCCTCTGTGAGCAACCATGTCTCCAAACCTCCACCTGTTCCCAGAGTGGCTGAGTGATATATAAAAGAAGAAAGGAGGAAGTCTCAGAAGGTGCCCTGAACAAGTACAATCAAAAGTATGTTGTGTGGCTCGGGGCTCACAGGAAGAAGTACCACACAGTAACTGAGTTAATCTTAAGTCCCACACCCACAGCTGACTCCATTTTTTCAGAGCCTTATTCTCTTACCTATAAAATGGGAATGATAAGTAAAGCCCCCAGTGAAAAGAGATGAGAATGGGGTAGTCCAGCCCTGGCTCATAGGAACAGTCTCATGTGTCTATACCATACAGATGTCACTGTCAAACTCATCTGGAGCAGCAGCTTTCCTGGGGAAGAGGCATAGGTGCAGCTTGAATTGTCCCCTCCCAAGCAGCTTGAGGAAGATGTCCCAGCCCAGACAGTGGACATAGCCCTACTTTGTAGACTGCAGATCTGGCCCAGCCCACATCCAAAGAGGGAATCAGGGTCAGCTAGAAAAAATGCAACCCACAGAGCCCAAGAGCATTTATCTGAAAGTCCAAAATATTTTAGAAGAGCCCATGGCTGGGGTGACTTTGGAAGCTGTTCTTCGGGCCAGCATTCATCAGCACAGGGGGTCTTGGTATCTAGTTAGGAGGGGAAGCAGAATGGAGGGGAAAGGACTGGCAGATAAAGTCTGAGGGACTAGACATCACATTGGCTATCTTGCAACAGGGATAGGGCTGCTATGAGAATAACCACCAAGAAATACCCTGCCCCAGTGAGGTAAGAAGGTGTGGGGGGGGGGAAGGACACACACACCTAGAAGTCCAACCTATTCACATTGTCTTCCATCCCTAAATACCAACAATGGGAAGATAACAGTGTTTTCTGTGTGCTAGCTACTGTGCTAAGTATTTTACTAGGATTATCTCACTGAGGGGCCACTTCAGTCTGAAGAGAGAGATGGCTAATTCTATTTTATAGAACGTGGAAGGCACCAGAAGTTGAGTGACCTAAGGTCACATACCTGACAAGCAGGATAGACAGCACTTAAACTCAGGTACTCTAATCACCATGCAGTGATTTTTTTTCTCCTAAACAAATAGAGAGCCCAAGGCTCAGAAAGGGCAGTGACATAGTTGGGGGGGTCACACAGCCTCATGTATGATAGATCAAGCCTCCTAATTCCTAGTTCTCTAGGTTTTCTACTCTATCGTGTCTAGTTGCTGGGTGTAGACACAAACCTAGCACTCGTGAGCCTGTCTCCGTTTATGTCCAACCCAGAAGTCTAGGGTAGAGACAGAAGGATAATCAGGGCCCCACTGAAAGTCCAGCTGTGTCAGCAGCCGACCTGGGGCTCACCATCTCATTCTGTCTTTCTTTGTAAAAAGCACTTGTGCTCTGCCCCACACCATCACACGAGTCCAAGGAGCCAGCATGGGTGGTAGGAGGAACCCAAGCTAGCATGGTTGCCTGAGAGCATTGGTTTGCAGGGATGCTGGTCAGCTGGCGTCATTTGTTCCCTGGGACCAAGATCTGGCTTCTGGGCTCTTTCTATGGGGTCCCAGCTGAGCTCAGACAAATGTTCCTGATTTCCCTTCCCCGTGGCTGATGAAACGGGACAGAAGAGCAGCCCTCTTAAAAGGGAAGGGTCTGTAAAATGTGTGGTGGAGGCACAGACCCTGGCTCTCCCCAGGGAGTTGGGGGCTGGACAGACACCTGCACCAGCTGCTGTTTTACTCCTGGCAGGGATGGGTTAAAACATTACTTCTCTCTGCCCTAAACTGCCGGACTGATCCACACAATCTGAGCGACTGCCGCTGGCTGTGAACCCACTGGGTTCTAGTACCAGAGGCCAGGGCAAGAAGAGGCCAAACAGCCTTGAGAAGAAGCCCCTGCTGGGCTAGAGGCAGCACCCAGCATGGCTGACCTTCAGAAGAACCTGCAAAGGGCTTCTCTGAATTTAAGACACAAGGTCCTCCATCCCCAGAGTTGTTTACAGATAGGGGAAGGGGCTCATACAAAGCCTTGCTGATAAGCTGACTGGTTTTTAAATCTGCTCTTTCCCCCCCTACCAGCCCCCTCCCACAAATTCCCCCTAATCCCCGGACTCCAAACGCAACTGGCCCCAAGCCAAGAGCACCGAAACATTATTTAGTAAGTAGGGAGCTATTTCCAGGCTGGTGTGGAAGTTATTAAAAGGTGGGGGGGCCCTTTCTGGATTCAAACCAATCTGTCCTACGTGCAAGTCCAGAGGTCTGCTTCTACAAAGCTCCCTGGGGATTCAATGATTGACTGGCATTTTGGACTTGGGGACAGAGGAAACAAAGAAATGGGCCCAGGGCTTGGATTGCTGCTAAGTGGGAGATGAGGAATTTACCTGGAGTCCAAGAGATAGGACTAGAGACATAAGCAGCCCTGGAGGAGGGGAGGCGAGCCTCTGTGCTCCCTTCAGCGTGGGGATTGGGGTGAGAGCTGAGAGAAGAGATACCACCCAGAATCGGCAGGCCTTGGGGGTAGGGGACAGGCTAATACCCAAGTTCCAAGGGTGGGGCTGTGCTACTAGCTTCTATTGAGCTCGATTGCGCGAACACACACACAGCCACTAAAACCAAAATAAGTCAGACTCTTCTTTTGTTTTCTGCCTCCTGGAACGTCTTAAAGACAAACAGAGACAGGGAGGGCTTCCCCGCCCTTTCCTTTGCCTCTCTGCCTTGGCTCTCCCATTCCATACAGAAGCCAGGCAGATAGGCTGATCTCTCTGATGGAAACTTTGTCCTGCGCTGGGGCACTAGCTGCGTCCAATAAACACACAAGGCCTCTATGCACACTGAAGGCAGGACACCATCTGTGTTTTGGAGACTCAGGCACTACCCCATTTCCAACACCTTTATGTGTGTGTGCGTGGGGGTGGGGGGAGTAGTTTGGATCGTGAGCACGAATTCCTAGCAAGGGCACTTCCAGTCAGAGTGAAGCCACCGTCCCTGATGAGCTCATCTGGACTCTCCTGAGGGACAGAGGGGAGTTTTCGAGAGAAAGAGGAGGCACCAGTCCCTCCAGAGTCCCCTCCTTATGAACAGTCCGTCACACAACAAAGATGACACTTTCCACAGAATTCGGCAGTCAGCATATCCCTTCCCACAGACACAAAACGAGAGTCTAAGAGTGTAGGAAGGAAGATGAATTTTCGACAGTACTTGGGACCTCAGGCCCAGGACGTGGGGTGCTCTCCACGATGGCTAGGGAGTGTAACCCTTCTGATGGAATTATTGAAGTTCCAATGCCTCCAATGTACCTTTGCCCAGAAAGAGGATGAGTCCTGCCCACGATGCCCAGAGTTCTAGGACCAGGACAAAGGGTGCTACTTTTACAAAAAGGGCTGGGTTTCGGGAACTTCGAGTAAATCCCAGCTAATGTTCTATACCATTGTCTCCATGCCAGCTTGCTGTCCAAGTAAAGTTTTTTTTTTGTTTTTGTTTTTCTGGGTGTGAATTGTTCACTCATCCTTGCCAGCAGCCCGTGAAAAATTACCTCCACGAAGCCGATGAGTCTGAACGTCGCGGAGGCACACAGGTCTCACAGTGGAGCCCTCCGCCTGATTGGCTCGGGGAAGGTGGGGCGCTCCTCCAAACAGACCCCGCACGCGGTTGCACTGGTGCGTCTGCGGTTCCTAAGCTCAGAAACTCGGTCTGTGAAGCTCCTAGGCTGGTCTAGGAAACCGATCCGGCCGAGGAAGGGCGCCCCCTGGCGAGACGACTCCCCCAACGCAAGCAGGACCCTTAGCCCGCGCGCGCGCCCACCACAGCCAGCCACGCTGGGAACCCGCGGCCACCACACCCCACATCGGCCGCGAGGAGCTCCGGGCTCCCCCGGAAGCCTATTGAGTCTCTGCATCCAAGGAGATGCACACCTTCCCGCGCAGGGAATGATAGCCCGTGTGCGAAAGCAAATCCAGGCGCGTTCTCCTGGCCCGCCACCAGGGTCCCACGAAGGCGACGCGCGCTCGGTGCCCCAGCCCTGCTGGCGATCTGCCGCGCCCAAGCCCGACTCCGAGTCCCCTGTCCGCGCCCAGCGTAACCTGGATGCACCCCTTTACTCTCGTCACAGCCCGGGCCGACACCCCGGACCTGGGAGTCCCACCTGCCGCCTTACTGTCGCCTGAGCCCCTGAGATCGCTGGGCGCAGAACGAGTGCACCTGACCCGGGCGAAGTCCGCGACCCGAAGCATGCTCGGGGTCACTCAGGGCGGCGCTATTCCCGCCCCCAGTGGAGTCACAGCAGAACTTGGTGGCCGCCTTTCCCCCCCCCCCCCCCGAGCGTCCTGGGACCCGCACTGGTCCGGAACCTCCCCAGGAGCGCGCGGTGTCCCAGCGCCAGTATGCACAGAGGGGCTCAGTGACCGAGTCCTACCTGACGGAGATCCAGCCAGGGGGAAAGTTTCCCCGGGCGCGGAGTGCGCTCCCAACTTGCTGGGCGCCGGCAATCCTGCACCGTGGCGCTGGGCCAGGCGTCAGGGAGACGAGGAGCGGCGACCCCCGCCGAGGGCCGGGACCGGACGGCCTGGCGCGGCTGGGCTTCGGAATCGCGCGGCGCTGTGTCCGCCTGCAGCCTGTAGCCCCCGAGACGCCGGCGGCAGCTGCAGCCGCTCGCCCGCCACCGCCGCCGGCCACACCTCCCGCCACCCTCCGGCCCGCCCTCCCGCTCCCTCCGCCCCAGCCTCCGCCCCTCGGTCTCTCGTCGCCACTACTGCCTCTCGGGTGGAGGCGCGGCTACCGGCGAGCCTGGCCCTCGCGGCCCACGGCCACTCTCTCACTGGTCCTAGCGCATGGTCCCTGGGGCGAAGCTCTGCGATGCCCCCTGTACCTCTGGCATCCTCCCCCTGCTCGCTCGGTGTCTGAATTTAGGAGATCGGTGGGGAACAACGGCGAGGGTGACACGCTCGACTAGGGGATTTATTCCCGGGGAGCTTTCTCGATGTCATCACACCCTTGAGCGTGACTGCAGGGCTGGGGTGGGGGTGGGGGTATTCTTCATTCGATGTTGCCTCGGTTTCCCACTCACTGCCAGGGAAGTACCTAATGGGAGCCTGTGCGGCAAGCCCCGTTAAGGCTCATTGCTGGATAGTCTGGTGAGCCTTCCCAACCCTGTAAGCTAAACAGTACACTACGGCATTGCTAAGGACCAGACCTGAGGCTCTTGCCTCATCCTCTCCTCCCCCTGTCACCGGTTTTCACTGAAACAGCTAACCATGCCACACGGGGGCCCAAACAAAATTCACAAGCGGGCACGGAAGAGCTACAACCAAAGAGAAACTGCCAATGAGAGGGCTCAAATGTCAACTTCTGTTTCCTCACAGGCAGCAATTATAAGTGTCCCAGTTCTGACGCTTCTCCTCTGAAGAGTCCCGAGTGGAAGGACGAGCGCAAGCGCGTGCTAGTGAAAGTTAGTGAGGTCAGGATGCAAGACAGAGTTTTGAAGGGCAGACAGAAAGATTTGGCCTTTCCATGCCCGCAGTCCAAGAAGTAAAATGTCCAAGAGCTCATGGCTGATACTTTGACCCACTTCGCAGAGTCGAGAGAGAACACGAAGGGGATTGCCAGAGTGGCGTGCAGCTGGGAGAACGGTCGGCCCAGCTAGCCAAGGTACAGAATTCTGTCAATATAAGGACACACCCCTTCAGCTTCCTAAACAGGGTCAAGGGGAGACTGCTGCTGTGAAAGACTGCTGCATGGTCCTCCTGGGACCAGGGAGAGGCATCACAGAACCATAAGGAGAATCAAACCGATAGTGAGAGGGCCAGGGCTTGGCAGGAGAGAGAAGCTTTTAAAGACTTAGCTCTGGTAAAAGCAGACAGAGTGGTGTAGGGAAGACAGCACAGTCTGGGGACCGGCAGGATGCCTCACTGATTGCAGGTCGTTGCCACCAGGCCTGTCAACCTGAGTTCCACCCCAGAACCAACTAAGTACATGAAGAGGAGTATGGGCTGGCTGCTCACCTCACACCCAGCTGGGTCAGCGGTTCTAGCTCCAGGCGGTTTCCTTCTGCCTCCTTGAGATCACAGACCTGGCTGGGCCCCAGTGTGAGGGCTGCCTGCTTAATGGCTTTCTTTAAATCAGCACTTATTTTATATTTTGTTTTACTCAAACGAGTTTGTTTTTAAACAGTGATATGTTCTACCAAGGCCATAAATGGAAAAGCATGTCAGGTTGCTATAAATAGAAAGATATCATAAAACAAATACAGTGCGAATAAAATGGTGTCATTAAACTCCAACAATGGATCCTCAGTCACAATAAAAGAGAGTGCAACAAGATACCGCTGGCTGCTTTGGCTAAGATGGGCTGGGCAGTCCCTTCTGAAGAGCAGTGAGCCCCAGGAAGGACCCAAAGACATATCAGCAGCCAATTCGGGATCCCCCACACACACCAGGAAACGTAAGCTCCCAAAAATGTGGAACCTGGAAGTTTAGTCCCATAAGACTAAGATGTAAGATCATACTTTGCTGCTGTTCATGCTAGTCTCCTGCTTACAAGGTGATCTTAGTGTTTCCACGCGTAAAGGTGGGCAAACAACCTATAGAATCCCTTCAACCGTTCTGTCAGGAGAGCAAGAAAGTTCTCAAAATTGCAGCCTATCGGGAGTTTTCAGGTAGACAAAGGAATTTTTCAAGGAGAGTGAGTGGGAGGGGAGAGACAGGGAGAGCCAGCCCTGACCAAATGGAGCCCAAGTTAGCAAAGACCCAGGAGCAGCCTGGCTCAGAAGGTTCCAGATTCTTCACTTGCCACTTAAAGAAGACTTGCGGAGAATTCACTGTAGCCCAGCTACTTCATTGTCTAGGTGGGGATGCTGAGAAAGAATGGCAGGCTGGACAGATGGGGAGCCCTGGGCCTCCTGAATTCTAGGCCAAGACCTTTTAACTTCCTGTTTTAGGGAGGGGTGTGATAGTTGATACTGTTCATTTGACTGAATCTGGACTCATCTAAGAGCTGCATCTTTGTTGTCTCTGAGGGAGTTTCTAAACTGGGTTGACTGAAGTGGGAAGATCTGTCTTGACTGTGGGCAGCCCCATCCGATGACTGGGGGTCCCAGGCTGAGTAAGAGGAAAGGGTGTTCATTCGTCTCCCCCTGAGTCCCGATGGCAATGGCAGATGAACGTGACCAGCTACTGGGCCTTTTCCCTTCCATGTCTTCCTGATGATGGACTGTCCCTTCAAACTGTGAGCCAAAATCAAGCCTTGCTTCCTTAAGCTGCTTCTGGCAGGTATTTTTGTCATAGCAACAGGAAAGCAATACAGGAAGTATGGGAGAAATGGATTTTGCAGATGCTTATGTCTGCCCCCCTCACCCAAAGGAGTTCTTTTCAGTCCTTTTCTCTGACACCCACAAAAAGAAAAAAGCCCCAAATGTCCCATTGGCCTAAAAGTCTCAAGTCTGTCAGAATCAGCTTGGACTAAACAACTTAGGTGCAGAGGCTCAGCCTCTGGACACGGGATACATGGGGCAATGATGTCCTGCACAAAGAGTCCTGAGCCAAGAGCCAGGAGCCTGGAACTTGGCCTTCACCAGGCCTCAGTGCTCCCTACTGGAAGATGAGGCCCCAGACATGAGCAACGGTTCTGATTGGACCACCACACCCAGATCCAATACCCTGAGAATTATGAGAAGGGGCAAGAATGCCACCTCCTCACTCCAGCTCAGCTAGGTCACTCATGGACTCTGTGCCATGGCAAACTGCTTGGGATTTATGTGTCCTTTATAAAGCAAGGGTTTGAAAGCATAGGAAAGAAAGCCCAGTGACTCCAGCTTGGTAATGTTAGGGCCATTAGACAGCGAGCTTCTTAAAGGCAGGTTCTTGGGTCTCCAGAAGTTGCCTTCAGGCATTTGAGTTGAGAATTCCAACTCTCCTGCCTGATGTCAGCCACTTAGACGCTCTGATCTATCTGTCTGTCTGTCTGTCTATCCATCTATCTATCTACCTATCTTTCTTTCCTTTTTATTCCTTTCTTTTTTGTTTCTTTCTTCTCTCTTTGTGTGTGTGGGGGGGGCAGGGATGGGATACTCATGCCCCAGCACACATAAGGCTGTCAGAGGACAACCTTGTGGAGTCAGTTCTTTCTTACCTTTTGCATGGTCCTGGGGACTGAACTCAAGTAGCCAAGCTTCCTTCACTAACGTTTTATTCCCACCAGCCCAAATCTCCTGATCTTCCCAAAGACACCATGGTGACCCTCCTGCTGGCATCGATGCGGTGAGGTTCTCAGGGAAATCTCTGGCATGCGGTACACACTAGGTAACACTGGACCCGGAGGACCCCTGCCAGTATACATTCTCCCCACCCCCTTACCCCCAGGTGTCTGACCTCCCAATCTAATCTAGCTTTCCTGAGGCATTCTGCACTTGAAAATTTTCATCATTGCCTCCTTGATTATTTTTTTTTCTGAATTGTCTCCTTTTACATGTAATTCACAATCATTTCCCAAAGCACTGACAGCTCGTTAAATGTATACTCAAGAGTGATTGCATTTATTTATCTTCCCAAAGCCTCTCACAGAAATGAATCCCTGGGTCCCACGAATGCCCTCTGGGTCTGGAACGATGTGATTTTGCATTTTCAGGTCTGGGAGCAGTTGTCAATGCTAGACTTTCTCCCCTTTCCCAATGTACTGCTCCAGACAGCCCAGGTGAGTCTTTGAGGATTTAGCACAAGGCTTCCAAGTCCCACTCCACTCCAGAAAGGCCACTGGAAAGAGGGATATTTGAATGCACTTTAAACACACACACACACACACACACACACACACACACACACACACACACA